AGTTCAGGAATTTCTGCTTCCCCGGATGAAAGCACGTGACGACCATTAATGAGAGCAGCGATGCTGACTAAGCAATATGGCGACCAGCTCATTAGGAAAGCGGCTATCGTCACGCATGTCATGCGTATTAGCTTTAGTTTGGACTTTCTTCGACTGGCTTGGATCATACGGTTGCCTGGTAGTGTAACTTTACGGATCAACCTTTGCGAAGGAAAAAACAAAACCGAAAAAGATTAGTAGCTTACATAGTCATATTTTTGCAGTAACCCATACAGGTTACTCTTTACTCTGACAATCTAGAGCAATACGAAAATCTAGAGCGGTTTTCAATTGAACGTCGTAAAACCAAAACCAAACCACTAAATTACTTACCAATTAGACTACGTAGCTTCTCTCTTTATCTAAAACCGTAGTAAAACTAAAGCCAAAACTAAAGTAATAGTCTGATTACTTTGTACACCCAAATGAAAACCGCCCATCAGCTCACCTCAAAACCACTTTTGCTTGATATCATGAATCACATTTTTTGATGAGCCGAAATGTGTCAACGGTACAATCCACGAAGATTAAAACTGGAGGAAAACTGAGGTTGACATTGTTGACACCCTTTCCTTTTGCCCAACCTTTTCTATACGTCCCAGAGGTCAATCCTAGTCACTTGAACTAATTATTAAGTACTTCACTGTGATTGGTTGAAAGCAGGTATATTTATCATTGATTTTAATTTGCACGAAGTGAAAATAATTGCACGCGCGTTAACGTTCGTAATTTTCTCTAGCCTACCATACAACAAATGCAGAGTAATCGTATGCCTGTGATTCTATCAAGTTGTACTCTCCTAGGGGTTCGCGCAATTGTGAGAAAATTTTCAAACATCACGCGTAGTGTAAATCCTTAATTAACTACCCTCGCGTTCATACGATTACCTATACTAATTTCTCTTCTTTTTTTAGTTACTTCAAAATTTCGGTTATTCATGTGCCATTATAGGCGTCGCCAGTGGACATAACTGTGATTACCTGTAAATCAAGTAATGGAAGGTAGCAATCATCGTGATGGGAAGAAAAAAACCAAACATCAATAGGAAGACGANGCCATACAATAAATGCGGAGTAATCGCATGCCTGTGTTGCACTCTCTTAGGGGTTCGCGCAATTGTGAGAAAATTTTCAAATATCACGCGTAGTGTAAATCCTTAATTAACTACCCTCGCGTTCATACGATTACCTATACTAATTTCTCTCCTTTTTTTAGTTACTTCAAAATTTCGGTTATTCATGTCCCATTTATAGGCGTCGCCAGTGGACATAACTGTGATTACCTGTAAATCAAGTAATGGAAGGTGGCAATCATCGTGATGGGAAGAAAAAAACCAAACATCAATAGGAAGACGATATAGACGATGCCCTCGGTATCTGAAGTGGCCCAATCAGGGCCGCAGCTTATACCGGCTTTACCGGGTACAGCCCTACTCCAGCCAATCATAGGAGGAAGATTGAGCAATATCCCGTATAACCACGTGCCAGTGACTATCAAAGTCATGTACCTGGTGTGGATTTTTGGATGCGGTACAGTCTGCCTAAAGACATGATACATAACGCCGATCATGGACGTCAGAGATGCTATAGACGAGATACCAGCTACGCCATTAGCGAATGAGGACCACATGCATCGAAAGGAACCCTCCTCGAGCGGTAGTCCAAGCAGGTTTGTAGCGGCGATCACGGGGTATACCAGAACAATGATTACAAGGTCGGCCACGGCGAGGTTTATCATCAATGGAGTGATCACCTTTCTCCGGTGTTCGCGGTAACGAAGAACTATGAGAGTTACAACGTTGCCAAAGAAACCGACAGTCAAAACAAAGAACATGACAGTGGCGTATGCCAGGTACACCGTTTGCCATTGAAATGGCTTTCCTTCGGTCGAGGTATTGTTTTCACCCGAAGTATTGTTATCCATCGATTTTCCGTTTAAACCAAGCTGCTAGGTCGATCACTCTGAAAAAACTTGATTGAAGTTTGAGGTCAATATTTTCCGCGGCACTGCTGTTGAAATACTTTTCTCTCCTCCACCTCCCTGTGGAAAAAAGAGAGAAATGTAATTATTTTACCTCCCAACTGAAATACGTTTTCCGATTGGATGAGAACATGTCACGTGTCATATTGAGTCAAAACTCGCTAACTCCTTAGGGAAACAACAACTTGAACCTTCGACTCGCTCGTGATCAGGTTGTGCACCTTGAATTCGCGGCAAATCGATTTGTGTGCCGCGATCCTCGCATATTCCCCTCGGCTTCGCCTTGGGGAACATTGAGGGTCTCGGGGAAACAAAACTCACTGTTTCACTTAGGGCCAGTCGTTAAGTGTTAAGTGTTTAAGGATGGTTTTCAGTCGGAGTCGCAATCCGTATTTTTAATAGAGGCTTTCTCACAAAGAACGGTTCACTTGATCTCGGACGCCAAAATAGATTTTCATCATCTTTCGACCAGAAGTATTACTTATCCATCCTTTAATACTACTAAAATGCGATTAAAATGATCCGGAAAGCATTTCTTTCCATTTGGGATAATTTATCGATCACTAGTGTTTAACAGCCGGCCGTGAAAAGGTCCTCTTAATTTTATGAATCGCGATAATGGTTTGAATGCTCGTTTACAAATCGACTTCGCACGTATAAAACACGTATACGCAAAATTTTTACATATCAATTGATTCATTGACACTTTTAACTGCTGTTGTATCATTGAGTCCTTTTCCGGGTGAAAATCGGAGGAGAACTGCAATATTTATGGGACACCTCATAACTCATGAAACATCACGAAACTATGGTAAAAAAAAAAAACCCAACAAAAATCCATCTGTCGTGAAAAAGACACAAAATGTAACCCATCGGGCCTTCTCATATTAAATTTCACTCTGTTAAAACCGCATCACATAATACTCCACTTTGAGCCTGAAAATTTACTGTTGAGTGGTTGGCAATTCGTTCGAGGCCAATCATACCTCTCTGGGTAAATTTTCAACGTCATGACGAGTCGCTTAAAATCACCATTTAAAATTATAGTGGAATCCCGATTTTTCGAAACCCCAAGGGGAACGAAAATTGGTTTGAAAAATCGGATAGTTCGAGAAATCGGGGGTAAAATTACAGCGTTGACTGAGGAGGGGAAACGAGGTTTGGTTCGAGTAATCGGGAGGTTCGAAAAACTGAGGGTTCAAGAAATTGGGATTCCACTGTAATTAAAATCAAACCTCTTAATTATGCAAACGTTTTCAAGAGGCAAATTCGCTACCCGGTAAAAACACCGAACTTGCTGAAATTCTAAAATTTCGAGAAAAGAAATTTCATTGTGAAACTTGATAAAAGAAATTAATTTCGGGCTTTTTATGAGCACTGAGTATTAACGCTTAAAAATCCTTATAATCACAGCACTAATCTTCTAGGAACTGAAACAATACTGAGGCGAGTGCCTCTGACCAGATAATCAAAAGAAACGTGAAAATTTCTTCTTGTATTTGATTTCCTCGGTATTTGGACTTAAATCATAGCAGAAAAGTCAAGTTTAGCTCACCTTCTGTACGATGTTATATTCAAATATTAAGTGCTGGTGTATTCAGAATTCTGCACGATAGCGATCTCTACGCGTAGGAAGGCAAAGTGCAGCATCTCCTTTACTGATATTGACATTCAGCTAATGACTCCAAGATAATCCATTACTTTAACATCCCTTGTTTTAAAACAGCAATCCATCAAAGAAGTGAAACCTTTTAGCGTCAGTTCCTTGCTCGTTAAAGCGAAATACGCATGTTCTGCTCTTGCGCGTCGAATGCAGTGACGTCCGATGTCGACTAAATTTGTCCTACCACACAATGGTCACTTGAAAGGTTTTATTACACGTTACCAAAAATGGAAAAAAAAGAATAATGAATCGAAAGATTTACTAGTAACAAAACCTTAATGCCAACATGCCTTTTCGACCCTTATAATTATCAGGAAAATTTTAAAAGATTTCAAACGCGAGCACCAACAATTTTCCGTCTGTAAGACATATCTTTTCGTTTATAGACCGACATTCAATCTGTGCATTGAAATTGTTAATTGTATTAACTATGATCTCTTTTGGCGGGTTGAAAATCCACTTGAAAAATATTTCAAGACAAAAATTCCGCCACATTTATGGAACTACCATAGGACGAAATATGAAGAAGATTTTTCACCATGTGCCACATATTTTCGATTTGGCTTTCGGTCTTAGTAAACAACTCCCTCAGCTCTTAATCTGGTCTGGCCTAGCTGCCACATGTGAAAATCCCGGCAAGATTTAGGTGCATAGTTTCGTGATATTTCATGAATTATAAGGTGTTCAATGAATATTGCAGTTCTGGAACTGGAAAATGACAAAATGATACATTAGCAGTGTTAATGAATTAATGGATGTGTACATATTTTGGTGGTTCTATTCGCGCGAAAAATTTTTAAACGAGCATTGAAAACCATTATGGGTCCATTATCGCAACAGTGCCGGTTTGCAGGTACGTCCACATCAGTTTATCTGGCGGTTTACGGTTAAGAAGTTATCGCGCAGTTGCGGGAAATCACAAATTTAGCTCGTGTTTTACGGTTTTTGCGTGTTTTTATCGCGATCTGGTAAAAGGAACGTAAATTTCACAAGCGTTTTTTGTCCGCAAATCCATTTTAGAATGATAACACAAGCACAGAGAACACACCCAGCCTTCAAAATAAGCCTTTGCACAAACATCCGAATAATTTTTGGGATATTTAGAAGTTTCCGAGGCATTTAGAAAATATTTATAAGATGTTTAGAAAATTTAGGGATATTCAGGAATATTTATAGGTTTTTTGGGCTTAACTCCGTATTTTCCTACGATATTCTCGAAAAAATACTCAGTTCTGTGGCAGAAACAATCCACTTGGTGATATATTCTATATCACCAATAGCGCTAAAGCAGCAATTTCCAAAATGGCTGATGAGGCAAATTTATAAAACTTTGGCCTAAGCGATTCAAAATCGGTGTATTTTTATGACAAAAATAAGATATATTTAGGGGTTTTTTTTGTGATATTTAGAAGAATTTTTGAGAATTTCCGGAAGATATTTGAGCGATTTTAATTTCACTCATCTATGCCTTGAAAACCGCATTTTTAACTTTTCTCGAACGTTCAAGGTGAATTTCCATTTTGCATTGTTCATTGCCGAGTCATTTTACACCCGTATATAGACATAAATTTTAACGAATTTGCGTGTGTGAAATAAATTACACCACATGCATTAGACGGCGACGGCGACGGCGACGGCGACGGAAAAACTTAAGTATGGTTCAGCTTTTACCACAACTGATAAACGGGATTTCTCTTGTCGCGTTTTTCTAAGTGCGTGAAAGGGCGTAATTTTTAATGGCTTTGCGCGCGTAGAATAAAAAAAGGAAATATATATTCTGCGGAAAAGTTGACTCTGGTTCAACATTTTCCGCACACGCAACTTTACTATTAAGTCCCTCTTTTATTTTACACACGTAAAGCTATTAAAATTCACTCTCGTTAACTGGCAAAAAGCGACGCTATACTCTACGCTAGCGAAACAATTAAAATTCACGCTCGCTGACACGCGTAAAATAATGCAGCAGTGGAAATTACAACAGGGTAAAAAATGTCCTACTTGAAGAAATTTTTTTTTTCGTATAGCTCATGACAAATCAAAGAAATATATTATTGTAATTTGAGAGCATTTAAGTAGCCCTTCAGTTGGAAATTTAAGATCCTAAAATCTTTAGCTCAGAATGATCCTACCTTTTATTATCGTGGATTAATCCTACGGTTAACCCGGCCTTCAGCGACCCGTATAGTGAGAAATAATCATTTACCCGTCTGCTTGAAAACATGTCGACGTTACAAAGAAGATGTTGATCACGCTCGAGTGTTCGGCGATTAAAATGAACATTGAATGCCAATTAGTAACTCAGTCAAGCTGTGAAAAGGACTTTCGTTTGACTTTTGACAGTTCACTATTAATTTTTTTTCAAACATTATTTTCTCTATATTAGTACAAAATAAAAGTCATCAGTTTCTATTTCATCCATCGAAAAATACAAATCACTGGATACTATTTGCAAGATAAAACTATCTGGTGAAACAGAAATTAGATCATTTCAGCAAAGAAAATTCGATTTTGACCACACTTCAGTGAGTAATCGACTATCTGATTCACCTTGTAAATCGATCAGTGCCTCGGCCAACAGAGAAAAAGTCCCTCGTTTGACTTTTAACGGTTAGAAGTTGGCTACTTGTGATCTGAAGGTGTTGAAACGTGTCTCCGTCAGCAACAATTTCGACATTTTGCACTACTTCCATGGAAGTGAAAAAAAGCCAAAAAAAACAACAACAACAAAAAAGAAAACAAGAAACTGAAACAAACAAACAGCATTAGGATATGGATCAAACTCCTCTACAATTCTTCGCAATAAGATTTAAGTTACAGTACAGTGGACCTAATGTTCGAAGTGGCTCACCTTTGTTGAAAAGATAATTGGATCGGAGAAGAGATGAACTGTGTATTTCCCTTTTGTTTTCAAGGATGCGAGGATTCCAAACCCGAATGGCAATTTGCATCGACTGCTTTTGAAAGGGTTTGTTTCAAAGAGACTTTGTTAACAGGGCTGGAAAATGTCCTAGTTTGTCTGTCCGTTGCTAAGGATGAAGAAGCTCTGTCGATTCTTCCTAGCCATAAGAGTCGCTTTTCTTTTTCTTTTGAAAGTGATAACTGGTTTTGAGGACATGGTTTCAATTCACTTCATTTACAGCGATCGAATGCGACAATAACAAGTTTAAAATTAAAAACCTAAAGAGCCCTTAGGGGTTTTGTGAATTTATGATGGTCGAGTAATGGCAGAATTGCACGTTAAAAGCTTGTGAATAATGCGAGATTAAAGCCTTCTAATAGTCAATTATGCACGTGGGTATATCGCAAGAGTTGCCAGTCGATGTTGTCAACAGAAGACGACATTTCATTGAAAAACGCCACTGAGTTTGATGAGCACTTGAGAACGCATGATGCAATGGGTTTTAAAAGCCAGCTGCCGCGGACCTTACGAAGAAAGTGAATTGTTGATCGGCTTTTTAATTTTTCTTCAAGGTTTTGTTTCTAAATGGAAGTTTTTGCGGACAGTGAACTGTTTTGTTTCTAGTAATAAAATTAAATTACAAACTGATAGCGAATTCATGTTGAAGTTCCCCACCTTATCAGGCGAGCTTGTGTATTTGGCAGTAATTGAAAAATGAAATAAAGGTTCATAGATTATACAAAACAATCGTGAAGCATTTATGTGATTTAGATTAGTATAACTTTGACGTCCGTTATCTTCTTTCCTTCAAAAATCCATGACTGATTGCAAATTAACTGAGTCAGTTCAAAAATCAATGGTCATATTCTTTTTTCTCAAAGGTTACCAAAACATGCAGTTCAAATGTTAATCAATTTTTAATTTGAAAGGGCAGTAAATACTTCATTTCATGCCTCGTTCTGACTACAAAGAAACAGAACTAAGTGAGAAATTTATCTCGCCACAAAAGTTTGCTAATTGGCAAAAATGGAATTTTGAGACAACACAGAAGGGCCACTCTCGAAGGGCTAAATGTTAAATGCCGGAATACTAACTCGAATCTTCGAGGTTTTAAAATCTCAATTTCGTCTATTCGCGCCTGGAGCATTTTTTTAAATATTTGAGCTAGGTAAGAGGG